AAGGAGGCCGTGGCAGGTGTGCGGAGTGAGTGTGTCAGGACGGAGGGCCCTGTCACCCTGAAGGATCAGACTTGCAGGGAGCAGACAGAGCGGATGGGGATCCCCACACAGGTGGGCAGGAGCGCCCCACGCTGAAGCCAATCCGTACAACTGCCGGCACCTCTCAGATGCGCCAAAGCGGTAGTCACCCCAATCCCCGAGGTCCCAGGAGGGCGGGGCCGCCGACAGGGTCAGGATTGGGCAACGGAGGTCTCACCACTTCTCACCTAGTTGTTACATCAGAAAAATATCAGCATTTCGTCCCCAAATTGGCAGGATCCTCCTCCAGGGTTCACAAATGGCCAAGGAACACTGGCTTCTTGAACGAATGCCCACACTCAAAGCTCCGGCCACAGCTTTCATAACCCGGCCGCTTTTGCCCACACCGGCCCCTCTAGAATAGCAGGGTCAATTTAGGATGGCCTCAGCCCCACCCAACAGAAAAATGGGCAAAATAAAAAACGAGTTCAGAGAGGAAGGAAGGAAAGAGGGAAGGACCCCATCTGGTCAAGGATACATGGGAAGATATTCAACCCTATTCATAATTTAACACATGCAAATCAAAGGGGCCTTGCAGGTGGCCCAAATTCAACGCATTTCAGAACCCCCCCGGGGTTGGTGAAAATGGGGGAAGCATACCCACCACTCACTGCTGGTGGGGTAAGAAACAGGGTGAGCACTGAGGTGGGGGGCGAGGGGGGTTGCGGCAGGGCAACAGCTGTCACTCGGCACCTACTAGCGCACCCCAGCAGTTCTGCAAGAGCCATACACAGACAGTATCACGGCACTGACCGTGACAGGGAAACTCAGGAACAATGCCAACATCTCCAGGACTCCGGTTACGTGAATTACGGACCAGCCACACCGTAGGGGAGGAAGGGACACAAGTGCTTACAACATGAGCCCCCTTGTGAAGAATTACATGTTCTCATATCCTGATGTGCACACAAAACTCCCGGGCTGGTTCCCACGCCAAGCAAGCTTCGCTCACAGGCCCACCTGGGACCAGGCCTGGGGGAGGGGGGGCCTCACTTCTCATCGCGTGCGTTTCCACCGAGCTGGTTTCTGAGTGTCGCTTTCTACATGTGCGTGGATTACTTTAACATTAAGTCGTAAGGACCTCAGGGGACAGAACCCTCTGACCCGCCCCGCGTCAAGGTCTCCCTGTCACTGACCCCACTGAGACGCCAGAGGGTAAAGGGGGGTCAGGAAGGTCAGATGGGCGCCCGCTCGGCTCCTCCAGCGTTTTGCAACGCTCCGATCTGACAGCCCCACGTGACGAGTGTCCGCAGGGCCCTGCCAAGGAGCACAAAAGGCCTGGCTGGTGGGTGACGGAGGCGCCTACACTACCGGGCGGCCAGACCTTGGTCTGATCCTCTGCTGTTCACTATTGGACTCTAACTGATCCGGGCTTGCTTCCTCTCTTCACACACTGGCCGAGCCCTCTGCCCAAGTCTGTATCTCGGTCAAAAAGAATGCCCTGCTTTGGTGACTTTGGTATGACGCCCGCTCGCCCACTCCAACCCAGGAATCCTTGGAGGGCTGAGTACCAGCTGGCCGGTCCGGGTCCGGCCGACACAGCTCGGGGGCAAGAATGCAGACAGCTGGTGTTCAGGTCCCAGCTCCCCGCAGACTAACCTGTGGCCACAAGCAAGTTACGAGCCTCTCAGCTTCCAATCTATAGAATGGGATGGCATTCCCATGGCCCAGCCTCCCAGGACGGATAAGAAAATAAAGTACTTTCCCAGGGGCTTGCCCGAATGCCAGCCAGGGGCTCATCCTGTGGTCACAAGCGGCTCCAGGCAAAGGCTGGGCTTCGAACTGAGTTCTTGCCTGGCGGAACCTGGCACATACCAACTTTTATTTCTATCTTTATTGTTGAAAGTATTACATATGTGCCTTCCTTATTAAGCATCTTCCCCCCCCCCCCCCCATCAAGCCCCTCCAACTATTTTAAGTGCACCTTCCCCAAAAAGGCAGGGCAAAGACTACTACTTGCTGCAATGAATACGGGAATATTAGGAGGGTACACTCTTATTCCCACACGGTGCGGATACATTTCTGTTTGTCCAAAAAAATCGAAGTCCGAAGGCAGCCCGCCTTGAGCAGCGCTCTGCCACATGCCGAGCTCAGCGCAGGAAATGCTCTTGCCCAGGAGTGCACCTTGTGGGGGAGGGGGGCCCCATGACCCCATGACCTGTGTGGCTTGTCCCTTTCGTAAACCCATGCTGGTTGCCTCGGAAGGCCCGTGCACACAGAGGAAGGTTTCATCAAAAGGACGTGGACTTCCTGGAAACCAGGCACACGGCGCGCATGGACTGTCCTGTCCCAGGAGCAGCTGGCAAACAGGTGCATCTGGGTCACAGGGCCTGTGGTCAGCTCGCGCGCAGGAGCAGACGGCTCAGGGAGCCCTGAGTCCGGGCCAGCAGCCTGTAGCTTGTGTTTCTGGAAAGTTCCGGTGTTCGGCACCAGCAAAAACATTCTGGCTTATCAGTCCTGGGAGGCTGGGCCATGGGAATGCCATCCCATTCTATAGATTTGAAGCTGAGAGGCTAGTAACTTGTTTGTGGTCACAGATTAGTCTGCAGAGAGCTGGGACCTGAACCCCAGTTGTGGCAGGGATCACAAAACTTGGTCAGCGGGCTGAGAGATGTGGCGGTGACCACCAGCGGTGGGAAAGCAGCCTGCTCCTCGCCACCCTGAGCCCTGTCTATTCGCCTTCACCCAACTTCCCGGCGGGTCAGGGGACATCTTTCCGCATGAAAAACCAAGAGATCCTCCGACCCCTCCCCTGAACCCCCGAGTTCTCCCCGTGCGCTGACATCCAGCAGGTTTGCCTCTGCAGTCCGGTCTTTTCTCGAATAGATGAGGGTTGTTTGGTAACTGAGACCAGGGTCCCATGGCCAGCTAAGGCCAAACTTAGCCTGGAGCCCAGGCCTCAGGTCCTGTCCGGGGCTCTGTCCAGGCCTGCGCCACGTGGTCCCCTGTAAACAGGAATAAACGCTCCAAGACAAACACCCACACACAAAAACGCCTGCTAATCAAACAAATGTTGGCAAACATGAAGCGCTAGCAAAATAAGGAACCAAAACATAAACCCCTAGATCTTCCAACATTTCTGGGCGGGGAGAAGTGTGTTTATTTCTGGATTACTATGCACTGTCCTCAGGGCTTACTTTAATCCCTGGGACCGGAATTATGGGGCCCAGGTTAACAGTGAATTTCACGGCCATACACACCCGGATAACATAAAAGAAACCCTGTCCAAGCTCATCTTTCCCAAAACACCCTACTGTCCTGGGTGCTAAAAACTTTCCCAATTAATGCTGCCCACCCTCCGTATTCACGTTCCCGTGTCGTGGTCAAAAACAGGGCTGACATCTGATTTCGCCAGCCACCTACACGCCAGCGCTGTGGCCCTACAGTGATTTGCAAAACACTAGTCTTCATCCCACACTGTCCGGCTTTCCCCAAAATTAGACTATTTGCAGGGGCACCTGACGGGACTCAGGGCCTAGCCCTAGACCCAGCGCCCACGAGGCTGCGGGAAGGGTGCACAGAGGCCGGGCAATCGGGGGACCCAGATTCCAGCCCGGTTAGCCGCCGCCCGGCAGCTGCACGACCTTGGGCATATCAGCCTCAGTTTCCCCAACTGC